TCTGTACTGTCATCGGTTTTAGAATTCTCGCTCTGAGTTGTCTGAGTGGTATTTGTTGAAATGTGTCGTAATACTTTTTGATTTAAAAATAACTGTTTTACCTGTTTCATGAATAACACTGATCTTTGCTGTCGAGAAACGGTTTTTTTTTTTTTTAGATGTGAACTCTTGCATCTGTGTTGATGTGGTTTTTTTTTTTTGTTTTCGATCCTGTGTTAATTGCTTCGTGAAATTTATATTGTGCTGCTGTACAGTTGTTTGTTCCGTTCCGTCTCGGTTCCGGGTTTTCACGTTTTCTCTTGCTTGTTTTTAGAAATTTGTTCAATTTTTGGAAAATTCCTGATGATGTACCGATTTTCAGTATCTCTACCTGATGTCTGGAAATCTGTTTTGATTTTCATTTTTTATTATTTCTTCTTTGCCGAGTAACATTTATTTGTCTGGTCATGTTATCTCTGTGAAGGTGCTTGTGGGCCTTGAGGGGGAAATATGCGTTTTATAAGTGCTGCAGGGGACTGATTTTTTTACGAAAACACATTTACATGTTGCTGAAATGTCATTTCAGTGAAATGAATTTTATGTCCTCTGAGAGGATCGGGTATGTCCCGGTGGATATAGCCCTAATTTGCGGGAGAATGATGTGGATTACTGTTTTAGTGATGAATTGTATGTAAATTAGATATTATATTGTCAGTTTTCTGTGTTTTTTCTTCCAGTGTTTTTTTCCAGTTGATCGACGGAAAGGTGTTTATTCGTTTTATTATTCTTCTGAATGTTGTTGCTGATATCAGATTGATTCACGAAAATATAAATGTTGAGAACAGTGGTTTTTTTGACGCATCGACGAGCACGCACCGGGTTCTTTCTGTATCCTGCAACATAAGTTACTGTCTCTACCTACGGTTGAGTTGACACAGCTGTTATAACGCAAGTTATTACTTTGAGACATGAATACTCCTACAGCTATTGTAACGTTGTGCTGACTCAGATTATCTCTTCGGTAGTGCTGGTTTTACTAGTCAAATACGGTAGTTTATGCTGGATTTCGTTTTAAAACCATTGATTTCTTGCTTGCATAGCTTACACTTTGACCAGGAATGTACTATTGATTTTGGGATTGGAAGTGAACCCCGCCGGATTTGAAAAAAGTATTTTACCAGCGGATGATGTGAACAGAGTTTTCGGCTTGATGTGTAGAGTAGTCGACGCTAGATTGGGTATTGGACCAACGTTTTGCTGTTGTTGTTAGGACAGTCGCTGAGGAAGTATTGGACTGTGAATAACAATAAAAGAACGGCGAAAGTTCGTAAAATTCGTTCCTGGAACGAGAAGCATAATAGGCCAGAAGGTGGTGTATGTTTTGGTGCAAGATTTTCCCTAAGTTCTTTGAGTTGTGTGTGATTGATTTGCTCTCTGAGGAATTTGACATATTGCACGGCCTGATGATCCAGTGACGTGAACTGCTAGTTTGAAAGGATTTGCTTCGAAAGTGTCCAACTCCGCTGATTCTTCCGAAAACAACAAGATAAGGCTTCACTTCAAAATTGCGTGCGAGCTCGAAGCACTGCGAAGTGTTAAAATAGCGGAAGAGGCATCCATCGGTTAAGCTGAGGTTTCATCGCAGCGCGGTGTGCTAACCAGTGCTAGGCACTGTGTGGCGAAAACAAAGGGCAATTTTTGATAGCTTTTCGGTGGAGGGCGCTGTTTCAAGTGTGTGGGATTTTAAAACAATGCTGTGGATGGTAGGCATCTCGGAGGGTTAGATGGAGGGGCTTTCCAGTCGATAGTGCAATTGCTACGAAAATATGTGCTGTGCATATTTCAGGATGTCGGGCTCGGCAGCAGTGGTGTCCGACGAAGTATCCGAACCGGACGAGGATGACGAAAATAGAACAAATGTGAATTGCAACAAAGATGCTACGGAAAATGAGACACTGACGAGGTTTGTTCCTTCGTTGTCCTCGCTTTCATCGAAATACCTCATTTTCAATTGAGATTTCAGGTCTGACCTGGTTGCTGCAATCTTATTACTATGAATGCAATTTTTGGAGCGTTTTTGACCCAACATAGTTTTCCTTTCATTCATTTTTATGCGTTTTGTGCTATGTAACAGAATTACAAAACGCATATTGTCACGGGTGTAGTGTAAATTGGCGCACATACATCGAACAAGCTGTGGGTATTATCTGGAAATATGCAACTCAGGATCGAGCAGACTGTAATAGTTGTGCCCAACAAGTGAGAGCATCCCCGTAGCATCAATACCAGTGAGTGCCCGTGAGGTTTTTGTATTTCTATTGCGGCAATTGAAGTAGTGGTAACGCTGTGCGATAGTAATGAATATTTGTAGATTAACAGTTAAGTGACAACCAAAACGAATGGGGAAATCGGCAGCATATATGAGAAACGTAGAAAAACAGGAAGAATACCATTCGTTTGGTTCACAGAGGTGATGGAAATAATAGACCAACAGGATTGTACGCAGGCGTCATGTGTAAGGTGATATTTTATGGTGCAAACTGC